GCGTTTTGTCAATTTCGTTTGTATTGAGTTTTCCCACCACGGTATGGAAATTGAAAAGTTTTCAACGGTCCTCTACACTGGCTGTTCAGGATAACAGAATAACAGACATAATGGACATTTCCACGGAATCGCATTATAGCCGGTGAGGTACCTATACAGGGTGTTTAAAATTTTACCCTCGCACTATTTCGGAAACTTTACACGGAAAAATAGCGTTAGTGCGATTATCGTAATCACTTAGGATATTGACTGATATTGTTGCTGTTCATATGCAATTCAGTTATGAAAACAACGAGTTCGTCTCGACAACCTTTCATTTTTGGCATGGTAGGTGAGGCTGGCACACTCCAACAAAACGGATGGAGCTGGGTGACCAGCCAAAGCTTTCAAGAAACCTACACGAATTCCCGATGTCAACAATCATTCGGTCAACACACTCGAATTATTCCTCACTAATAATTCATCACCTTACACCATAAATATACGTTCTTCACTTGGCAATTCAGATCACACACTCATCTCCACAACCTACCCATTCTTCATTCCATCAACTACTCCAGCATCTGAACTTGTCATATATAACCTCCCTGGGAATATATCCACTTCTTTCGTACTGAATGATCCAAAAATTGAAGAGAGTCCTTAGAAAAAGAGATGAACTTTAGCAATAATTTCATACAATGTGTTATAAATCATTACCAAATTTAGTACTAAAACTAAATTACAACTCTATATTGAATACCGTGATTACATAATCGACTTACCAAAATCACTTCATTGCAGAATAGGTAGAATGTAAAATGATAATATCAAAATAATATAAAGCCACAATTAACACAAAGAACCAAATAAGACGCCAGCAACAAAATCTCATGTGGACGCTGTCGCCCTGCAAATACCAATGGAAAGAACACCAGCTCATTGTCAACCCTTCAAAGAAGGTTGGTTGATTTTAACCTACTGTTCGTTTGTCAACCAACTATGACAGTGAAAGAGCTGTAATAATATTCTAGTTATACAACATAATATAGTTCAAATACTGATTTGAAATAGTTGTAGGTTGATTTTACCTTTCTTTTCGTTTGATTACCAACTATAATAGTGAGCGAGCTGTTATAATATTTTAGTTACAATATAATATAGTTGGAATAATATCTTCTGTATCTTCAATTTGATCTGAAAGTTATATGTTGATTATAACTTCCTGTTCTTTTGTCTACCAAATATAACAGTGAGCGAGCTATGGACGTATTATACGTCCATCATGGAGCGAGCTATCATGATATTTCAGTAACAGTTATAATGTTATTGAAATACTATTCCTAGTTCAATTTGACTAATTTTCACAAATTATCGGTTATACCACAAAAATATTATCTGAACCAATTGATATTTTTGGTCGACGTTGAATTTGTTCATGTACAATTTTTCCTCAATTGTTTTGACGATCACCTAATCATTGAATGTACCATCGTTGTAGCTTTATTCAACAATTATAATGATGATGTAGATTAAACACATTTTTTGTCAATTTAACCTATACTATTTCATTGATTGAATTTCTTCGGCTACGCCTATGTGAATGCAAGTTTATGATTTGTATAGGGAGAAAACATTATATAATCTTCGTAGCCTTATGATTTATTTCGATAGTATTCCATGAAGGAGCGGGGATTCTAAATTCTAAGGGTCTTTGTACGAGATTATCGGGAAATGTAGAATTCAAGCACTTTCAAAAATCTATATGGGAAGTATTCCAGACGAGTTAGTCAATAAGATGGTCGAATATAAAAAGTACCTCTTCAAGTTTTCAGGCGAGAGCGTAGATCAATCTTCAATAGATCCTTCAGTTGTCCATTTCCCGTTTTCCCCCAAATGAGCTGAATTCCCAGAAAATATCGAACTGGAAATCACAATTCAGTGGTGCAGCTCCAAGTTTTTTCCGTGAATTCCATTTTATCTCTGATTAGTCTGATTACACATCTAGGTAACAGAATGCCGAAAATTCCAGTCTTTCCGTTGGGACCTGGCATGGCCTATTTTACCATTAGGCACATCAGGCCTGGGCCTTGGTCCCGGTGTAAAGGGGGGGGCCAGAAAAAAGTTGAAAAAAGTATTATTAACTATTCCAATTCAGATTTGATCAACGAAATAAGCCGTATCTGATGAATAAAATTCAATAAAACTAGTTTTAGATTAGTATTAGAGTGATATTGATATACATTGTTCAGTGTGATTTTTCTTCGATGAACCAGCGTCATTTTTCTTTAATACGTCCCATCTTGATTTCAGCTGTTCAGAGATTCTGAAAGCTCTTGTTTCACTCCAGTTTCAGTCATCATGAATGGTTTTCGAAATCCCAAATAAAAATATTATCTTGTTATTGAAATTTTTTCATTTTGTTCGTTGTTGCTCAAGCACTAGCAGAACTATCTTTTATTTTTTGTTGTTGTGTGGTCATTTGTTTTAGTATTCATAAAATATTATCAGGTACTTGCTCTTTTTGCACTACCTAATTCATATTTTTGTGAAATATAAGATTTTTTCAACAAATAATATGGAAACCATTTATTATACCTATATGTATAAGTAGGTACATAATCTCTTGGTTTGTGTGTACGCACTAATTGGTTATTGACATTACGAGAGTTCCTTCAGTACATGTGTGTTATTTCGTTATTTGTAGGCTTGTTACTGACTCCATACGCCACCTTAGGCGCTGCACTGTTGATTGGAACGCAACAATGAATCGGGGAAATGAAAATGTAACTATCGTAACAATTAGAATTAACAATTTTAGTCGAACAGAAAATAAAGGTTTACTCATAATTATTTTTCAAAAGCTATACTGGACCATTGTCGTTTTGGATGACAACCTGGTTAGGTAGTTAGTAGGCAGGTTATACCTCCTCGCACTAGGTCGCCTACTAGGTTCTCATTTAGATCGACAATGACTGGACAAAGGCGGTTAATAATTCTAGTACGGAAAATAAGTGACCAAATTAACTGAATAAAACAAATCGAATAGATAAAACTGTGAATTGGAATCATAAAATCATTTATAGCGATGGCCATCAACTTTTTCACATATGCCTCATCCAGTAATTCGAAGAAGATCTATACAGGGTAGTAATCATCCTCCACAAAAAAATTGGAGTACTAAATCCAGGCCTGAAAATAAAATAATATGTTGATTTTCATTGAGCTGAAGTATTGAAGAAGTAAGTCTCACTTTTATTGGTGAAATTTATGGGTTGCGTAAGTATTAGTTTCCAAATAAATAAATGTTTTGCCAAATTTTCGTTTTTTCATAAAATTTATTGCTTTTTTCAAACTGCAGTGAAAGTGTGGGGAAAATTTCAAATATTTTATTTTTGGTGTTTGTTTGTGACCCTTGAAAATTCCCTGTCACAGTTTACAAATACGATATACAGGATGAACTTTTTGCTATAAACTAAACTATCAAAATTTTTCAAGAACGGTCCTGGATTTTACCGATTCTGAATGAGTAGCGAAATATTCCATCAAAAAATCAGACGAATCAAAGAAATTGTCGGAAAGTTATGACCAAAAGATGTTTTTGCCAAACCTCATAATTCACCCTATATATTGGAAAAGAAATGTAGAAGACACTTTCTGATGGACACTCCGTATTCACCTCAAGGGCCTCTCTATTCGTGGTAGGAGTATGTACAGTTCCTCATGACTCACCCTGTATAAGTAGCCGGAAAAATCGAGATTTCATTATTACTCTTATCCAGCTTCCTAAAAAATTGCGATCCACCACTTCTACTGATTCACTAATGAAACTCATCAATAAAGAAGTCTTATGATCATTTTGTATACAGGATGTAACTAAATAAGTGTAAAACATTTGTTGGGGTGATTCCTCATCAAAAAAAAGATAGGATCATTCATATAAAGAAACACTTAGTCAGTAGTTAATTTGGTTTATTCCATGGTTGTAAGGGGTGGAAAACGCAACACCCAGATTTTATTTCCGATGTAACTTTTTGTCTTATTATTTGTATACCATTTAAGAATTTATTTCCGATAGCCTGTTTCATTCTAAACAAAAAATATTTCCTGAATTTTCTGCCCAAAATGAACCAGTTCGCAGCAAAATAGTTATTTTTGTATCTAGAGCGCGAAATGCTACTTTGGTGATCGAGATCTGATTTTTTTAACGAGGCGTAGCCGAGTTAAGAAACTGGTCGAGATGACCAAAGTATTTCGCGATCGGGTTGCAAACAACATTTTTTTTACAAACGTAAAAAATATAGTTCTGAAGTAAAGATATGCTCAGCTTGATAAAAAAAATAGTGTTGAACTGGCTTAAAAAGCCTCCCCCTATCCTCCATAGGCACGCACGATGTTCCACTAACATAATAGAAATTTCCTTCCGTGCGCTCCAAGAGATAAAACAAAGTTATTCTTGAACATTCAGAAATAATTGATTTCGCGGATGTTTGCTCGATTGAGGACCATGAAGTAGAAATATAAAAATATCTCATATATTTTACATAATGCGCGAAGTAGGTACTTCGCGCACTGTTTTATTTCGCGCATTGTTTTGTGCAAGGTATCATGGTAACGTAGGAAACTGAAAAAAAGTGTCACTTCGCAATTTGTCAGCGATGCGCGAACCTTGTCATTTCTTGACGTAGAAAAAATTATTTTACGAACAACATACATATCGAAATAAAACGAAAATACGAAACTAATTTACTAGACCGCTATTAAATTGCTATCAAGCTGTCAGTTTGTAAATTCCTGAAGTTGGAGTAATACTAATTGTGAATTGTTGTTCTGTTCCTGATTTGTGAAAAAAAATTTTGAACAAATTTCATGTACCTCCTTCAAGGAGCTGGGGGATGGTATGGGATGGAATGCTCCAATGAAGTTTCTTTATATGAAAGAACCTATCTCTTTTTCGATGAGGAATCACCCCCTCGAATGTCTTACACTAATGTAGCTACACCCTGTGTATCATATATTTTTTCAAAAATATAAATGTCATATTCTGAAATTCATGCAATATTCAAGGATTCCACTTGGGGTTAGTATGAATATGTATCTTGATGGGATCCCCAATGCGATCTCTAGCCGTTTCGAACGCCTTCACCGTATCTTCCATCTTGAAATGATGAGTGATCATGGGTTTCACATTCACTCTTCCAGTTCTCACCATTTCTATAGCATCCGCATAATCATTATTATATCTAAACGATCCCCTGATATCGATCTCTTTGATCAGCGCGTCCGCAAGAGGAAGATTCATCTCCAACTCTCGCATTCCTAGGATCACTACCACCCCCGCCGCTCTAGTAACTCTGAGGGCAACTCTAGTACATTTTTCACCACCAGCACAATCGAAGCTGGCATGAGGTTCTTCGCCTAAGATTTCCAGCACCTTCTTACATATGTCGTCCTCAGTCATGCTTTCTTCTATTTTCAGCGTATAGTCCGCACCCATTTTCTTGGCGACCTGCAGCCTGTTTTCCAGCAGGTCGGTGATGAGAACCTTAGAAGCACCCCAAGCTTTGACGGACGCCATCATGGATAGTCCGATGGGACCGCATCCTTCCACGAAGCAGACATGGCCCATTTTGACTCTGCCCAACTTTGCGCCATGTACTCCCACTGAAAGAGGTTCCATCAGAGCTCCTTCCTCTAGGGTCATATTACACGGCAGCTTGAAGCAGTAATCTGCGTCCGAGCAATAGAATCTGGATAGGTTGCCGTCGATGGGAGGGGTAGCGCAAAATTTCATGTCAGGGCAGAGGTTGTACTTGCCTATTCTGCACAATTCGCACTTGCGACAGGGAACTCCAGGTTCGATGGCTACTCTGTCGCCTGGTTTCAGGTTTTTGACGTTTTTTCCGCATTTAGAGACTGTTCCTGAGGCTTCGTGTCCGCATATCATGGGTCCATTCATCACGAAAGGGCCACATCTTCCTTCGGTTAAGTAGTGGACGTCGGAACCGCAAATGCCTACCACTTCCATTTGGAGCAGGACCTGATCATCTGTGGGTTCTGGAATCGGTCGCTGTTCCAATTTGATGTCGTTTATCCCGTATTGGACTGCAGTTAAGTTGTCTACGGCCATTGAATCGGCTGGACCTTGATGTGAAGTACTGAGTGTGTGAAGAGTTTGTTGATTTGGTTGTATCACTGAGATTTTTGTGCGTTGATGGTTTTGTGAAAGATGTGAACAAATTGATTATTGCTTCATGTCTGTATGACACCAAACATGTCAATTTTATCACTGTCATTGTCAAAGGAAACACGCATGATTTTCTGATCATTTCAATTTTCTATAGGAGCAGAGTTGTTCTGACTGTCCGGACCGAGAAAAGAGTGGGTGAACACGAAGACGAAGCCATTCTGCCATTCCTTCTTTCGATGTTCTGTTTTTTTTTTCAATGAAAGAGTGAAGGTGAAGAGGTGAAGCCATTTTTAGCGTTCATTGGTATTGCTAATGTTAAAACTTCATAATGACAACAATGATGGAAGTAAGATATGGTGTAATTACTGATGCGCTTTTGATTCAGAAATTTTACTCAACCTCTCGACAACAGCGAGAGCAATGGTTCCGTCGATCTTCTAGTAGATGGCGACATTGCACAATTATTATGACATCTGTAAGTTTTGAAATGGTCGCAGATTTTTGGAATTCAGAGCTGAATAATCCCACTGTTACATATGTTCCGCGTACTTAAAATGCCATTTGCCATTTTATTTCCACTCGTCACAGCAGCAATAGGAGCATCATCATCTAGCGGGAGAATGTAGAATCAACGTCTCGCTCGTCGTGACGTAGAGAATCATAGTAGGCGGTCGAGTGATTTTTCTGAAATTTTCAATACGTGATAATTGCCGAATGCGCGTACCATATCTTACTTCCATCATTATGACAACTATGAATATGAAAAAGGTGAGTATGTTTACCTGTACATTTGAATACATAGAGGGTAGGGCGGTAGTGGCAAAAATAACCTTAACTTTTTTGTACATTGTTTTGTCGGTCTTAACATTTTTTCAGGTGCTGTCAGAAAAAAGTTGCATGTTACGGATATGGAATTTGAAAAATATGTAGCAGCTCGGTTTCGCCATTCAGGTCTGAGGTAAGCCAGAGAAAAGGAGAATATTGAATGGAATTGTTTCTTATTATAATCTAATAGTTTTTTTCATGGTATAAAATCCACTGAAACTGCAGTCTTATTTTATCAATACCAATTGACTACATTACACACGGTGTTAATTAGGGTCCACTTTCATTATGAGTAAGTGATCTACTTGGTATGAACTAGAAATGGTTTCATATTTATCCAGTATCAGCAAAAGTGCAATAAGGAAATGTTTCATAGACACTATTTGTGAAACGTTTCATGAAATGCAATAGTGAAATATCTCAAAGATACACACCCTAGGTCATTTATAATATCTAGAATGTCTCATAAATGTTTCGGAGTATAAAGGTGAAATGTTTCATATTTCACAGAGTTTGTTTCAGGAACGTTTCAGAAACACGAGATGGATACTGGGCATGCATTATTCACTAGTCTATTCATTATAACTCAGATTTGATTATGCCACTCGCTAAGCTCGTGACATAAACTTGACCTTCGTGAATAATTGAATAATAGTCCCCATTATGTGCTTGTTGTATAATATTCTATTTTCCACTATAGTAACACTGAAATATGAACATATATTATTAATTCAGATTTTCATTTTCATTGGAGGTTTAATGCCATTCACCGTGTATATTCATCATATTACTGAAATTGTGATATTGAGAATAAATCCTGTTTCAAAATTCCAGATGAAATTGTGAATGATTACAAAAACCGAGTGAGAATTTAAGTGACGCAGTGATTTCGATATACAGGGTGTTTCACAGGTAAAGGGAAATATTTCAATGGTGGATAGGGGTCGCCTAGATGGTTCTGAAAATACCATATTTAATGAGTCTCACAGTCTTTATAACGGAGATACAGGGTGATTTATCGATTTCGAATAATTATTCACTCGTCCATAAGTATTAAACTACTCAGTATATTTTTTCCAAATTTGATATGGAGCTTATACTCGAGACGTTAAATTTATCGGCTTCTGAAAAAATTCACATTCATTAGAAATATAAAAAACACTATATTTGATAATTTATTCTTGAGATAACCATATATTTTGTTGCTGAATGGAATCGCGACGGACCATCGGTTCGATAATCTGGTTCATCGGATATTATCTTTCGACAGGCGGAAACAATCTCGGGAATATTGATGCTCCTGCCTGTAATTTAGGTCAGTTCAGATCGCGACATGTCGACAGTATGTCGATCTAAAATATTGTCGATGCCGATTCAACTATAAACATTTTCTTGATTTGATGAAATAATGATCATTTTGATGAGAATATATCTTTGAAATAACATACAAGTTTTCTTACTCCGATGTAGCAATGAACTCGTTTCGAACGGATCATTTGCTTGAATAGAGCAATATGTAACATCAACAGATGAAATATTTCGTTCATTCTACATCATGATTAAATTTCGCCCCTAGATGGCGATCATTTCGCCTCGTCTATGCCTGCCTCGAATTCATTAAAAACGTGAAACCTAAACCATCGTGTTTGAAATATCAGCAGTTTTGCATCAGCTGAAGAGACTGGAGATCTATGCTAGAAGTCGACTAGTTTCCAAGTTTAGTTTATTTGATTCATGTGAAATTTCATAAAATTCCCAAATCAATAATGATTTCGGTTCAACAAAACAATATGTCGAATGAAAATACAGTTTCTCTTGAATCAAGGAAATATTTCATTGGATCAACAAAATAGTACATTGATTCAACCAAATATTTCAATGAATCAACAGAATAATTCATTGAATCAACCAAATATTCCTTTGAATCAACCAAATATTTCATTGAAGCAACTAAATATTTGATCGAATAAATATCTTGTTATTGTGAATCGAACAGAATTATTGTTTGAGACAATTCAATATCTCTTCATAAACAATTCATGGATGTGCTTGATTGAATAAGATCCACAGTTCATGCAAGACATATTTAATTGATTCAAACTTCGAATTCGCTCTGAAACAAGATACAGATTTACTCATTTCAAGATTATATTTTATGTTGTCGTGCATGTGTATGACATTTATATTTGCTTCATTCAATCAAATTCAGCTTGATTCAACAATTCCTTTTTTTCCGTGTAGGTATCCATTTTTCAGAAGAAGAAAGTTGGTGTCGACTCTCGGCACACCCTGTATAGCTGGAGGACTGAAAAAATGTCAGGTAGATTGGAAATGATCGATTATAATAACAATAACATCATACCGAATTTTCAAGTTTCCAATCCAACTGCAAGTTGGCATTCGTCTAATGTAAATCATAAATCAACCAGTGTTCCTGTATACAAGTGCTTCATCTCATCATCAACCGAAGTCGAGACAGACAGCACGACGACGAAGAAGAAGAAGACGGCATCCCGACGCAACCCTTCGACGCTCCGCCGAGCTACAGGTAGTTCCAGTCGGGGTTGGGACAGGGTTGCCAGATAACTAGGCCGAAATTCCCCAATCGAAATTTCAAAAATCCCCAATATAAGCAGGTTTGGAAAGAAAAATCCCCAGAAACTTTTTTGAATTTCGATTATCAATGGGGAAGACCACTGATTTTTTGAAACGACATTATCGTGAACTCTATACTGAAAAACTACCAGTGAATTAATTTTGAATTTTTTCAGTCATGCTAAGACGATGAAAAAAATAAATTAGTATATGTCCATTTCAAAACACACAATTCCTGCGCCTTTTGAAATTTCATCAATTCATTGGTGTGACTGGTGCGACGTCACAGTCCCAACACGCCTATTGTCCTTGAACTGACCAATTACACTGCAACACTGTAGAATAACGAGGTATCAGAGAGAGATAGCTACAGTTCGGGACTAATACGTCACTATTCCACCATCATATTTGGCTGTTTGAAATATCGAATGAAATATGCTGATTTCAAAACGATATAGATTCGATTCCCTTCAATTTCAACTCATAATATTGATTGTTCATAAAATGTAAATCATGATTCGTCGATTGAAAGAGGTTTGCACGGATTTCTTCCCTCAGTGGTCTTCCCCATTGAAAATATTGTTTCCGTTTTTTGAAATTCCCTTAAAATAAGCTGACTATCAAAAAATCTTTAAAATCTACGAATAATAAGGATATTGACTTCTTCGTTTCTTATTGGGTAGGAATAGGACTTCATTTATGAAATGTTTGTTGCCGAAGTCGTGTACCCCTAGCGGAAAGGGCTAGTGTAAGTTGAAAAATTACTCAAGACCAATAAGAATGCGCGGTATCGGCCCCATTTTAACTCAATGTGGTAGTTGATTGATCCAAATTGAATTGGAACGTGTATGTATTTGTACTATTGAAAGTATTTCAACAATACTTAAAATTATTATGTGACGTAAGTTTCAAAAATTGTTTCAGTAAAACGAAGGTATAATACATACAGTGTGACCCACTTCTAATGGAAACACCCCTGTATCTTACGTAATCGTTGGGTGAGGATCCTGAAATTGGCTGGAGCGAGAAATATACCAAAAATGCACTCTATGACCAAGTGGGGTCATCTTCAGTGATATACACTACTCGCCAACAGCCATGAAACCACCCCAATTCCCGGGAAATGATATTAGGAGTCAAAATAGGTTGAAAATCACTTCGAATTCGGATTCAGGACGCCCAATTTTCTAACTGTTTATATTTTTCGTGTAAAATTTCTAGTCCTGAAAAATTAGATTCTTTCGCACATTTCACGGAAGCACCCCCGTATCTTACGTAATTGACTTTATCTTTGGACTTTCCCTTCCTCCTGCAGATCTCAGAACCCTACCTCAATAATTACGTAAGATACGGGGGTGCTTCCATGAGACGTGAGACAAAATTCAATTCTTAAATTTTCTAGGAAAACTATGAATATGAACTAAATATGTTGCCTAGCAACATACCTATTTTTGTGTCAGTATTAGAAACGTCAATTTATGAGCTAATTTTGGTATCAAAATGGACGACTTTTGTGTCGGTTGCAGAAAGAAGCTTTTTTTTCTGCTAGAATATAGATTACAAATTCCTTGGCGAGGTAAATTGATATTGAGATAAATTCTCCTAAATTTTTTTCTCCAGAAAAAGGAATCCCCAAAAAAATCCCTGGAGCAAAAAAAAATCCCCTCATTTTTAAGGAAAA